TGAGTTTCGCACATTTTTACCAAAGATTGCCCAGGACTACTTTACTGCTGATACCTCGAGTGCAGTACAAAGCAAACTCTTCTCTCTCGAGTGTTGTTATCGCTTATCACATCCAGTCTGTTTGAGGCTCATCCGATTGATTATTTGATTTGCTGGCTAACGCATTTTCTGCGTTGGGGCGCAGGATTACTTGAAATGTCCTTGCGTATTATGTTGTGCTTTGTTAGTTGAACAATTTGCGGGGTACCGGTCTATTCATATAAGAAGCTGAAGTACGCTGCGTTGCTTGTTCCGACACATCTGAATATCACACTTTACCGAGCACCTTCAGCTTAAGAAGCTGTGTTAGCTGCTAAAACCGGAGGCAGTCAGTACGGGAAATCGGAGCCCTCATCGCGTACAGGCCGAGCGGCCTTAGAATCATGTCAGTAATAGTTTGATTAACTGATTTAGTTTGTCTTTGTCATGAACCCCGGCTAAAGCCACTTTTTGAAAGAAAAATATGAAAATCGACAGTGACATAATATTTGGCTGTACTGAAGTAAGCTGAATGAAAACAGAATTCAGCTAACAGATGCAAAAAAAAAAGAGAGCACTGTTCGGGCAGGCGCTAGTATTCGGATGCTTCTTGCATTGGAAGCTGAGTGCACCGATGTCAAAAATCGTAGTATAGTCTGTTTTAACTCACACTGAAAGTTTTGTAATGCGTAAGTTTCCAATTGTGTGTGATTCAGAAAAAAATTTTTCAGAGAATTCAGAATGAGAACTCAGGGAAATGATCTCGTCTGATCTTTTACAATTCCGAACTCGCTCTCAAGTATGTTTTCCAGGCAGACAAAAAAATTGATCATCGAAAGGCTCTTTTTTCGAAGGGCCGGTATGTGTGGTTGTAATTTTTACATATGTTGTCAGTTCTTTCCGCATTTTTGTCATGTATTCTCAAGTTCCTTTCCTCTCTCATGTATTGTCATCTTCTTTACTCTTTATAAATAAACTGGAATTAAGCCATCTGGGCTTTGAACATTCGTGCCATGTCGTAAGCAAGAGTGGGCATTCACCGTCGGAAACCTGCAGCTTGGATTTTAT